GCCATCGGGGGCTTGGGAGTACGATCACAACTCTACTTTCAAAAGGTTTTGGGGCCCAGGGGTTTTGTTTGAGTATTACAGATATATCAAGAGCAGCTTATTCCATATCAAAGCAAATCCCTTAATAAAATTTCTCACAACCAAAGAGATTTTGGCTGAATCCCTCAAAGCTATTGTTCTACTATATTTAAACCAGGTAAATATCTTCAGGGACCCGGCTAACTACTGCCCATTTCCCTATCAATATTGACCTTAAGTTGTATCCCAAAATTATTAGCCACCCAACTTGCAAAAACAAATGCTCCACCTCATTCACCCCGATCAGGTAAGCTTCATTCCCCAACGTAAAAACAGTTGATGGAAACGCGGTAATTTATTGATCTTTTTTCCCTGTTTTGATTCGAGTCGAATATATTCGCTGTGAATTTAACTTAAAAAAAGGGTGTTTCTAGGCTTCAGAGAGACTTAATATTAGTGCAGAACACTGTACCTTTAATTTAAATGCCCTTGGAGTCTGCTGGGGAAGAGAAATAATACTGTCAGTCAGTATGACATGCAGATGAGTGCCGTCGATCTTAGAATCACCGCACACTTCACTCATTTGGGCAGTCACGGGGCCAAAACCAGAGTGTGGAGCCACAGTGTGGCGGTGGAGGCAGCAGCAATGGGAGGCCATACAGCACCCTATGACAAAAATGGAAACCACCAGCAGTGTGAGGAGACCTGAAAGTGGCACATGGCAGAGTGTGGCGATAGGAGACAGCAGCAATGGGAGGCCGTACAGGGACCCATGACACACTCTGGACCTGGCAGCAGCATGAGGAGGAGGCGGTACAGGGGCCCATGACAGATTACGGGCCTGGCAGCAGCATGAGGAGTCGGTACGGGGGCCCCATGGCAGATTACGGGCCTGGCAGCAGCAATGGGAGGCCGTACAGGGACCCATGACACACTCTGGACCTGGCAGCAGCATGGGGAGGCGGTACAGGGGCCCATGACAGATTACGGGCCTGGCAGCAGCATGCAGGAGGAGTCGGTACGGGGGCCCATGACACACTCTGGACCTGGCAGCAGCAGCATGAGGAGGCGGTACAGGGGCGCATGACAGATTACGAGCCTGGCAGCAGCAACTTGGACAGGAGGACGTTCAGCTTCTGCACCGTCGGGTGCGTGCTCGCAAACTGTTGTCTCTTGGAAACGGATTCCAAGAAAGACTGCTGACGGAATCCGTGAAGAGGAGTAGCAGGAGAAGGAGCATCTGAACGAGCGGAATATGCCAACAAGCGACAACAGGGGCCCATGACAGATTACGGGCCTGGCAGCAGCATGAGGAGTCGGTACGGGGGCCCATGGCAGATTAGGGGCCTGGCAGCAGCTATGGGAGGCCCGTAATCTGCCAGCACCCTATGACAAAAAATGGAACACACCAGCAGTGTGAGGAGACCTGAAAGTGGCACATGGCAGAGTGTGGCGATGGAGACAGCAGCAATGGGAGGCCGTACAGGGACCCATGAGAGACTCTGGACCTGGCAGCAGCAGCATGAGGAGGCGGTATAGGGGCCCATGGCAGATTAGGGGCCTGGCAGCAGCTATGGGAGGCCCGTAATCTGCCAGCACCCTATGACAAAAAAAATGGAACACACCAGCAGTGTGAGGGAGACCTGAAAGTGGCACATGGCAGAGTGTGGCGATGGAGACAGCAGCAATGGGAGGCCGTACAGGGACCCATGAGAGACTCTGGACTTGGCAGCAGCATGAGGAGGCGGTACATAGGGGCCCATGGCAGATTAGGGCCTGGCAGCAGCTATGGGAGGCCCGTAATCTGCCAGCACCCTATGACAAAAAATGGAACACACCAGCAGTGTGGCACATGTGAGGAGACCTGAAAGTGGCACATGGCAGAGTGTGGCGATGGAGACAGCAGCAATGGGAGGCCATACAGGGACCCATGAGAGACTCTGGAAAGCCTGGCAGCAGCATGAGGAGGCGGTACCACCCCCATGGCAGATTTGAGGGCCTGGCAGCGGCTATGGGAGGCCCAGTCGATCTGCCCAGCCTATGTCTAACCAACACACACCACCCCTGCCCTGCTGCCATGGCAGCGGAACGCGAGCGCACAGGGCCCACAGTGGCAGAGACAGCAGCTGACTACATAGGTGGTTTTTATAGTACGTTATTTTGGCCTCCCTCTCAGCAGGTGTGAAAAAGGCCACCATTTTTGAACGGTAGCGAGGGTCCAACAAGGGGACAGCCAAAAGTCATCCATGATGGTTATTATTCGGGTCGCTACGCAGCAGCAATGGGAGCATGCTATGGGCCATTTGTGCCAAGGATGCGAGGGACTCCCTGCCTCCATCTCCACAGCATACTGGCACACGGTGCGTCTGGGTCCTCTGTCTCCCTTCCTCCCCCTCTACCAGATGCTCCTGCTCCTCCACTCCTGTCCGCTGAGTGGAAAAACCACCCATTTCACTCAATAATTCCTGAGCACCAATGTCCTCCTCTACACCTCCTCTGTCTTCCTGTCCTGCCCCCACAGGGGTCATGTGGCGTTGAGATCTGTGCGCCACGTCTACCGCACGCACCCTGACCAGCCATTGTTAACAGCATTTGTTCCAGGACGTGCAACAGAGGAATGACGTCGTTCATCCCATAGTCCTGCCGACTCTCACGAATAGCGTGGCCTCCTCAAAGGGCCTGAGCAAGCGGCAGGTGTCACGCATGAGCTGCCAATGGCTGACATCTAAGTTACACAGGGAGTACCTTTATCCGCTTTTAACATCAGGAAATCTGTGATGGCCTTTTGCTGTTCGTAAAGGCGGGTCTAAGCATATGTAGGGTTGAATTCCACCTTGTTGCAACGTCACAGCATGAGGAGTCGGTACGGGGGCCCATGGCAGATTAGGGGCCTGGCAGCAGCAATGGGAGGCCCGTAATCTGCCAGCACCCTATGTCAAAAAATTTCAACACACCAGCAGTGTGAGGAGACCTGAAAGTGGCACATGGCAGAGTGTGGCGATGGAGACAGCAGCAATGGGAGGCCGTACAGGGACCCATGAGAGACTCTGGACTTGGCAGCAGCATGAGGAGGCGGTATATAGGGGCCCATGGCAGATTAGGGGCCTGGCAGCAGCAGCTATAGGAGGCCCGTAATCTGCCAGCACCCTATGTCAAAAAATTCAACACACCAGCAGTGTGAGGAGACCTGAAAGTGGCACATGGCAGAGTGTGGCGATGGAGACAGCAGCAATGGGGGCCGTACAGGGACCCATGAGAGACTCTGGACCTGGCAGCAGCATGAGGGAGGCGGTATATAGGGGCCCATGGCAGATTAGGGGCCTGGCAGCAGCTATGGGAGGCCCGTAATCTGCCAGCACCCTATGTCAAAAAATTCAACACACCAGCAGTGTGAGGAGACCTGAAAGTGGCACATGGCAGAGTGTGTGGCGATGGAGACAGCAGCAATGGGAGGCCGTACAGGGACCCATGAGAGACTCTGGACTGGCAGCAGCATGAGGAGGCGGCGGTATATATAGGGGCCTATGGCAGATTAGGGGCCTGGCAGCAGCTATGGGAGGCCCGTAATCTGCCAGCACCCTATGTCAAAAAATTCAACACACCAGCAGTGTGTGTGAGGAGACCTGAAAGTGGCACATGGCAGAGTGTGGCGATGGAGACAGCAGCAGCAATGGGGAGCCGTACAGGGGCCCATGGCCGTACAGGGACCCATGAGAGACTCTGGACCTGGCAGCAGCATGAGGAGGCGGTATATAGGGGCCCATGGCAGATTAGGGGCCTGGCAGCAGCTATGGGAGGCCCGTAATCTGCCAGCACCCTATGTCAAAAAATTCAAACACACCAGCAGTGTGTGAGGAGACCTGAAAGTGGCACATGGCAGAGTGTGGCGATGGAGACAGCAGCAATGGGAGGCCGTACAGGGACCCATGAGAGACTCTGGACCTGGCAGCAGCATGAGGAGGCGGTATATAGGGGCCCATGGCAGATTAGGGGCCTGGCAGCAGCTATGGGAGGCCCGTAATCTGCCAGCACCCTATGTCAAAAAATTTCAACACACCAGCAGTGTGTGAGGAGACCTGAAAGTGGCACATGGCAGAGGTGGCGATGGAGACAGCAGCAATGGGAGGCCGTACAGGGACCCATGAGAGACTCTGGACCTGGCAGCAGCAGCATGAGGAGGCGGTATATAGGGGCCCATGGCAGATTAGGGGCCTGGCAGCAGCTATGGGAGGCCCCGTAATCTGCCAGCACCCTATGTCAAAAAATTCAACACACCAGCAGTGTGTGAGGAGACCTGAAAGTGGCACATGGCAGAGAGTGGGCGGGCGATGGAGACAGCAGCAATGGGAGGCCGTACAGGGACCCATGAGAGACTCTGGACTGGCAGCAGCAGCAGCAGGAGGCGGTATATAGGGGCCCATGGCAGATTAGGGGGCCTGGCAGCAGCTATGGGAGGCCCCGTAATCTGCCAGCACCCTATGTCAAAAAATTCAAACACACCAGCAGTGTGAGGAGACCCTGAAAAGTGGCACATGGCAGAGTGTGGCGATGGAGGCCGTGGCAGCAGCAATGGGAGGCCGTACAGGGACCCAGCAGCTATGACCCGTAATCTGCCAGCACCCTATGTACTCTGAGGACCTGAAAGTGGCACATGGCAGAGTGTGGCGATGGAGACAGCAGGGAGGCCGTACAGGGACCCATGACAGGGAGCAGCATGGGAGGCGGTATAGGGGCCCATGGCAGATTAGGGGCCTGGCAGCAGCTATGGGAGGCCCGTAATCTGCCAGCACCCTATGTCAAAAAATTCAACACACCAGCAGTGTGAGGAGACCCTGAAAGTGGCACATGGCAGAGTGTGGCGATGGAGACAGCAGCAATGGGAGGCCGTACAGGGACCCATGAGAGACTCTGGACTGGCAGCAGCATGCATGAGGAGGCGGTATATATAGGGGCCCATGGCAGATTAGGGGCCTGGCAGCAGCAGCTATGGGAGGCCCGTAATCTGCCAGCACCCTATGTCAAAAAATTCAACACACCAGCAGTGTGTGAGGAGACCTGAAAGTGGCACATGGCAGAGTGTGGCGATGGCAGCAGCAATGGAGGAGGGACGCACATGAGTAAGTGGCAGCAGCAGATGTGGTACAGGGGCCCATGGAGATTACAGCAGCAATGGGAGGCCCGTAATCAGCCCAGCAGTATGTGAGGAGCAGTGTGAGGAGACCTGAAAGTGGCACATGGCAGAGTGGATGGAGACAGCAGCAATGGGGCCGTGGCAGCAGGGACCCATGAGGACTCTGGCCTGGCTGCAGCAGCATGAGGAGGCGGTACCCCATGGCAGATTAGGGGCCTGGCAGCAGCTATGGGAGGCCCGTAATCTGCCAGCACCCTATGTCAAAAAATGGACACACCAGCAGTGTGAGGAGACCTGAAAGTGGCACATGGCAGAGTGTGGTGGCGATGGAGAGACAGCAGCAATGGGAGGCCGTACAGGGACCCATGAGACTCTGGACTGGCAGCAGCATGAGGAGGCGGTACAGGGGCCCCCATGGCAGATTAGGGGCCTGGCAGCAGCTATGGGAGGCCCGTAATCTGCCAGCACCCTATGTCAAAAAATTCAACACACACACCAGCAGTGTGAGGAGACCTGAAAGTGGCACATGGCAGTGTGTGTGGCGATGGAGGAGCAGCAATGGATGGACAGGCAGTAACTGGGAGATTACAGGGGACCATGGCAGAGACTCTGGACTTGGCCAGCAGCATGAGGAGGCGCCAGGGGCCCATGGCAGATTAGGGGCCTGGCAGCAGCTATGGGAGGCCCGTAATCTGCCAGCACCCTATGTCAAAAAAATGGAACACACCAGCAGTGTGAGGAGACCTGAAAGTGGCACATGGCAGAGTGTGGCGATGGAGACAGCAGCAATGGGAGGCCGTACAGGGACCCATGAGAGAGACTCTGGACCTGGCAGCAGCATGAGGAG